CATCAGCTAAGAATTCTAAATTTTCGGAAAAGGCATTATAGAGGCTTTATATGATAGAACAGACTTAAAAGCGCGCTTGTGCACAGTTTGTTTTGCATTATGTGAGTTATTTCGGCTATGTATAACAAAGCTAGACTTGAGTACCCTGTTTTTTAGTGGTCATGAATGTAATTTGCATAAATTAATCTTACATAACTTCGAAAAAATTGCAGACAACTTTTTTACGATATAACACCTCTTAAACTTTAGATTTCTTCCAAGAAACTAAAATGTTCATGAAATGCCCACGAGATTACACATGGCCCCGGACTATATTAGCAAACCTTTGATTTCCTCTTATACTAAAAACACAGGATTTTTGTTTTGATGTTTATTTGAAATAATAGGTACAAGGGATATTACTTTAGGATTGTTATAGTAAGTCGAGATAAGATGACGTCATATATGATGTCACAGTGACATCATATATGACGTCACAGTAACCGTCATTTTGCTTTTAGCATAAGTCAAGAGAGAAACAATCAACTGCTATCTCAGTCGTCTGAATAATAAAATTATTATTCAGGCTCCCTACACCACAATTCTAGAAGAACGTGCTTAGGGCTATTGTAACGTCGCTTTCTACAGAAATGTACGTTAAGAGAAGCATATTTCTATCAAGAAGCTATAAACCACAAATCGGACTCTATTCTTCAGTCGAGAGCTTGTTCGAGAACACTGAAAAGTGTCATGATCGGGTAATTTGCACAAATTCATTCTTCAATGCTGCACTCGCGTATATAACATACAAATGTATTTAAATGTACCGCATTTGCGTCTTGAACATCCTAAAGTGAAAAAAGGGTTCCTAAGCACGAGTTTCAGAAAGCGTTTTATAACGTATAAAACCAGGAGCGTAGCGTCCATATACAAACATACGCCCATTATACAGCTGAAATCTGGAAAAAATATATTACTTTATTTTCTGAAAGCATTTTTATCATTAAATCGAGATAATTGATAAATCATTCGCATCATATTGGTGTATTTGCCAGTCTGAAGGAAAGACGTCTTGCCTTTTGCTTGTAACCTCTCTAGATGGCGTCACTGTTTTACCCTTTTACCCACCGTAGCCTACCGATGACACTAAAGAAATGTCCAGCGGAAAACGCAAGAAGTGGCATTTCTGAACCCCTAAATTTGAAAAATTTTGTAGGGGAGCATGTCCCCATACCCCTCCTAGTTTGGCGTATACACCTTTAAAACCTGACCCTATGCCCCTGAAAACGTGTTTTGTCAAGAGGGATCTAAACGTTATATCAAACCTGAAAAGAGAAGCAATAAAAAATATGACGAAAGTAACAACTATCTTTCTACTCTACATTTTAAGTATTCTACACCCGCAGACGTACTTATCTGTATCAAGCCTTGTTTATTCTTAGAGGAGAAGAAGGAGAAGCTTCCGGAGCGTGGAGCTCCATACCTAGAAACATTTTGTTGGAGGCACTGGCTATAATCCTTGCAACACAACTCATCGAGTGCAAGAAAGACTCGCAGAAGATGTATGTAGTAAATTCTAAAGGTGACTGTATGACATCTAATACCGTACCGATTCAACACTTAAGGAGTGAGCAGGAAGAAGCAGACACCCGTATGCTCCTGCATAGTCTAGACGCCAGAAAGAGAGGAGAAACGTCCACATTCATTCAGAGCCAACATACAGATGTACTCGTTCTGATGCTCTGGACTTACAAGAGACTTTGTCTGGATACTACATTGACTGCAGAGACAGAAGGAAAAGTAAGAAGTACTCCACTAGGACCACTTTACGAGGTGGTCGGAGAAGACCTCGTGAAGGCTTTACCTGGCTTTCACGCTTTATCAGGATGTGATCAGACAGGCACCATCAATGGAAAAAGCAAAGTGTTTTTTTCGAATAATCTAAAGAAAAGCCAAACGACCGATGCTCGATGCCTTCTTCAGCCTAGGAAACAGCGACACCATCCCAGATGATATGCACATAAAGCTAAAGCGCTTCGTCTTCCAGTTGTACATCCCTTCGACACAGCTGAGAGAGCCCTAGGAGAGGTCAGATTCTTTCTTTATAGCAAGAAACAATAAGTAGATAAACCGCTACACCCCGCTAAAGCAGCCTTACACAAGATGACAAAATGAGCTAATCTCGTTGCATTGGTATGGAAGTCTTGCGACAACCCAATACTAGCATTCTTAGCCGAACGTTACACGAATGGCAACAAGATGGGGATGCAGCCTGTTCCAACCACACTCCCTACCAGCATCTTTGGCCGTTCTGCAGCTGATCCAGTGTGGATGAAATTCGCATGCAACACAATGAGCTGTACGTGCAGGAAGCACAAACTCTAATGCACAGATATGTCTGGGTCATGTAAAGTGAAACGTACGAACAGGAACTTTAACACTGATACAGTTAAGCATGTTAACAGAAATAAAAGTGACGATGAGGACCTTCAATTCTAGTCCCATCAGCTAAGAATTCTAAATTTTCGGAAAAGGCATTATAGAGGCTTTATATGATAGAACAGACTTAAAAGCGCGCTTGTGCACAGTTTGTTTTGCATTATGTGAGTTATTTCGGCTATGTATAACAAAGCTAGACTTGAGTACCCTGTTTTTTAGTGGTCATGAATGTAATTTGCATAAATTAATCTTACATAACTTCGAAAAAATTGCAGACAACTTTTTTACGATATAACACCTCTTAAACTTTAGATTTCTTCCAAGAAACTAAAATGTTCATGAAATGCCCACGAGATTACACATGGCCCCGGACTATATTAGCAAACCTTTGATTTCCTCTTATACTAAAAACACAGGATTTTTGTTTTGATGTTTATTTGAAATAATAGGTACAAGGGATATTACTTTAGGATTGTTATAGTAAGTCGAGATAAGATGACGTCATATATGATGTCACAGTGACATCATATATGACGTCACAGTAACCGTCATTTTGCTTTTAGCATAAGTCAAGAGAGAAACAATCAACTGCTATCTCAGTCGTCTGAATAATAAAATTATTATTCAGGCTCCCTACACCACAATTCTAGAAGAACGTGCTTAGGGCTATTGTAACGTCGCTTTCTACAGAAATGTACGTTAAGAGAAGCATATTTCTATCAAGAAGCTATAAACCACAAATCGGACTCTATTCTTCAGTCGAGAGCTTGTTCGAGAACACTGAAAAGTGTCATGATCGGGTAATTTGCACAAATTCATTCTTCAATGCTGCACTCGCGTATATAACATACAAATGTATTTAAATGTACCGCATTTGCGTCTTGAACATCCTAAAGTGAAAAAAGGGTTCCTAAGCACGAGTTTCAGAAAGCGTTTTATAACGTATAAAACCAGGAGCGTAGCGTCCATATACAAACATACGCCCATTATACAGCTGAAATCTGGAAAAAATATATTACTTTATTTTCTGAAAGCATTTTTATCATTAAATCGAGATAATTGATAAATCATTCGCATCATATTGGTGTATTTGCCAGTCTGAAGGAAAGACGTCTTGCCTTTTGCTTGTAACCTCTCTAGATGGCGTCACTGTTTTACCCTTTTACCCACCGTAGCCTACCGATGACACTAAAGAAATGTCCAGCGGAAAACGCAAGAAGTGGCATTTCTGAACCCCTAAATTTGAAAAATTTTGTAGGGGAGCATGTCCCCATACCCCTCCTAGTTTGGCGTATACACCTTTAAAACCTGACCCTATGCCCCTGAAAACGTGTTTTGTCAAGAGGGATCTAAACGTTATATCAAACCTGAAAAGAGAAGCAATAAAAAATATGACGAAAGTAACAACTATCTTTCTACTCTACATTTTAAGTATTCTACACCCGCAGACGTACTTATCTGTATCAAGCCTTGTTTATTCTTAGAGGAGAAGAAGGAGAAGCTTCCGGAGCGTGGAGCTCCATACCTAGAAACATTTTGTAAACTATCCATTGCAGAAAATTTGATTGTGACGTCGGCGTACGACCGAATGCTGACCGTACGGACTCTCCGGGTAAAAATAAGTACAAACGAATTCTTCCCCTCTCCCCTAGAGAGTTTTGTCTCCTATCGTTTCAAAAGGCTTTGGAAATGATTGACAAATCAGATTCTATCTACTGAGCAAATGCTTGGTGGATTTTAGCGGCCGACAATTTGACTTTTGAGGAGGTTATGGGTGATTTCAAAAGTATCCTGCGGACTGACTTCAAGGGGGAAAAGCTTGCAAGGATATACCTGGGGAAAAATATTTTGCACTAAAAAAATGTCTTTCATGACGTATATAATGCTGAAAAGCAATCTTACACCGTTATGTGTCAGGGAAAAAATTCTTACCCAAACTAAATCACCCATACCGCCCTCCCACACAAAATTCGAAATGGTCAACCACATTGGGGTTGGGGAAGAAGTAGATTTGACACCTTAGTAGGTGTCATCCGTCAACAAAATGGCTAGCGCGCGTTAATCATGTGGTGGTTTTCAAGACTAAAGTTATGTATTAAAAGATTGAAATTAGGCCGATAAAAAACACAAATGGAAAGAGAAAGTTCAAAAGAATACTCAGGTTCCTTTTTGTGGATAAACGAGAGCTTTTCGCTATGAGATTGTCTTTCGAGGAATTCAACATTGTTTTCTTCACGGCGGATTAGAGCGCTTGGCTTGCTTTGAACCGGCCGACGCAGCGAGGTTTCTGAGGAAACTTGAGGTACATTCTGTACTCTATGGTCAAGGAAAGTACGTTATTAAAGGGGAATTTTTGTATGTATAAAGTTTCACGGACGTTTTCTACATTTTGGAGTGCGAGGAAAACAACAAAATGGGTATTTGAAATTGATTTTTTGCAATGTACTCAGCCGATTTAACTTGCGTGAACGGATCCAGGATCCAGTTAGTGTTTAATATACGCGAATTGTCTTTTAGGATTAACTTACGGGTTTTTTAATTAAAATTTGCAAGAAATTTAGTTAGTTATCTGTCATTGTTCATCCATAACATTAGCTTTGAACCAGCCGACGCAGCGAGGTTTCTGAGGAAACTTTAGGTACATTCTGTACTCTATGGTCAAGGAAAGAACCTTTTTAAATGGGAATTTTTGTATTTATAAAGTTTCATGGACGTTTTCTACATTTTGACATCGGCGTGAAAGGAAAACAACAAAATGGGTATTTGGATTTGATTTTTTGCAATGTGCTCAGCCGATTTAACTTGCGTGAACGGATCCAGGATCCAGTTTGTGTTTAATATACGCGAATTGCTTTTCAGGATTAACTTATGGGTTTTTTAATAAAAATTTGCAAGAAATTAAGTTAGTTATCTGTCATTGTTCATCCATAACATTAGCTTAAAACACGATCGTAAGATTTTAAGAAACACTTCAGACGGGCTACTCCCCATTTTTGAATTAAAACTAAAGTGTTGTTTTTGTACGTGTTCCATTGAATTGCTATTCGTTTTGTAATTCATTTCTTGCCATTCAATAATTTTGCAGTGAGTTGCTCTTTTCCATAACTCTTGCCCTAAATACAGCTGAAACCGCTAATAAATAAAGTTTGTTTTCAGTTGTTCGCTGAAAAAGTGAGCTTATCTAAAATATGAAAGAGTTCTTTATTCTAACGACCGTCTCGTCGGCTTTTCGAGCCTGAGTTTGTCTTTATTATGTTTTTGTTGCTGTATTATTAACGTTTATAATAGGCCTTTTGCGAGTTCCCCCGGGCCTCTGTTTCAAAACGAGGGTAGGTACTCAGCCTTTGATATGAAAATTATTTTTCATTCTCATGCAAATGAAACTGATTTTCACAAGAAAGGTTGTGCACCTAGACTCATTTTGAAAGTGTGGGTTTTTGGAACTCGGAAGTGGCCTATTAGTAATGTAATTAAGAGCCTCTTCATATGAGCCCGGTTTCCGATTTCCCGCTTTACCTCTAAATCCTTTGTAAAATTTCGATGTGTTCATATCAGAGGGTGAACTGGCTCGGTGCTTTCCGAGATCTCGGTAAGTGGGCTGGAAATTTTGCCATATGAACACTTCATCCCGGTTTCCGGAATGAACGGCGGGATGAATTCTGGCGCTGCGGGTGGCATCGTCTTGCATTGCCTGCTGTATTTTCCACATCATAACCGTCCCATTTAACTGCAGTGATACCGCTGTAAGAGTTAGCGAAGTTATGGTAGGCCCGAAAGTTAGAATTTTTGTGTTTCGCCATGTTTGCTTTGTTTCTCGAATTTGTTGCCAGAACTGGTCCCCTGGATCTNTTATAAAGTTTCATGGACGTTTTCTACATTTTGACATCGGCGTGAAAGGAAAACAACAAAATGGGTATTTGGATTTGATTTTTTGCAATGTACTCAGCCGATTTAACTTGCGTGAACGGATCCAGGATCCAGTTTGTGTTTAATATACGCGAATTGCTTTTCAGGATTAACTTATGGGTTTTTTTAATAAAAATTTGCGAGAAATTAAGTTAGTTATCTGTCATTGTTCATCCATAACATTAGCTTGAAAGACGATCGTAAGATTTTTACAAACACTTCAGACGGGCTACTCCCCATTTTTGAATTAAAACTAAAGTGTTGTTTTTGTACGTGTTCCATTGAATTGCTATTCGTTTTCTAATTCATTTCTTGTCATTCAATAATTTTGCAGTGAGCTTCTCTTTTCCATAACTCTTGCCCTAAATACAGCTGAAACCGCTAATGAATAAAGTTTGTTTTCAGTTGTTCGCTGAAAAAGTGAGCTTATCTAAAATATGAAAGAGTTCTTTCTTCTAACGACCGTCGCGTCTCGTCGGCTTTTCGAGCCTGAGTTTGTCTTTATTATGTTTTTGTTGCTGTATAATTAACGTTTATAATAGGCCTTTTGCGAGTTCCCCCGGGCCTCTGTTTCAAAACGAGGCTAGGTGCTCAGCCTTTGATATGGAAATCATTTTTCATTCTCATGCAAATGAAACTGATTTTCACAAGAAAGGTGGTGCACCTAG